ACGGTGCAGAGATCGCAATTGTTTCAATCTAACACGAGCTCCCTTTTCAAGGCACTGTCTATACAACTGCCACAATCTATTCCCGAACAATGCCCCAGCACATTGCTGTAATGCACCCTATTTAACTACATCTTACCTTGTGTTTGACGAGGATTGAAAAACGATGCCTTAGGTCACTGAACGCTGTGTCAATTGATATGGTTACACCTCCATCTTCAAAGATTCACGTGAATATACATTTACATCTTCTTGAGTCGATATCAAAATCATATTTCATATAAGTAGCGACTGAAAGGATAGCATGTTTATTTTGTGAGTTGATAAGATGTATCATTAACATTTCAGATTTATGGTCATTCGTCAAGAACGAAAGATATGCAGAGCTTCAAAGAGAATGTGTTACACTTAAATGAGACATGGAATTCAACTCCCATTGCACCTCTATGGGTACATACGTTATTAACAACATCAATATTTTTAGATTTACGACACACGTGTACATTGGCACACATGTATTTCATGGAATTCTAAATTTACAAAAAAATATATTATTTATGATGTGTCTGGTTAGACAGATAAATGCATTCAGGTTGAAGAGGTGACTATAAATTACTATACTTATAATTATTAAAAGCCTCTCCATAAGTCCATAAGTGTGTGTGTGTGTGTGTGTGTGTGTGTGTGTGTGTGTGTGTGTGTGTGTGTGTGTGTGTGTGTGTGTGTGTGTGTGTGTGTGTGTGACAAATGCCGATATTATAGTGCTAGCCCACTGAGATTCAATCACCTTAATTTTGAGCGCAAGGCAGTGTAACAACAAGTATCTTTAACGTCTTTTGGTAACGACGCGGCCGGGAAGCGAACCACCGACCTTACTCTCTCCGGGAAGATACTCAATAAACTAGACCACGGAGGCGGTCTTCATGGAACAGATATTTGTTACACTACATGAAGATGCAACACAAACAACACATACTTCTATTCCAATACTTGTGATGGGGTTATGTAAACATTCGTGCACCATGGACGTGTAGACAGATGTGTATTCAGGTTACGAAACACTGTCAAATATTGACAAATAATTTCGCTCTGTGCTCACAGGCCAAGGGCAGGCCATGGAAATATAGTGTGTCTGAAGACAACATGAGAACAGATATGAAACCAAATTTCGTTGATCAAATATGTTCAATGTCTTCTCAAATATACCGATTCATGTATAAACCACAAATCCTTATGGTAACACTGCAGACAATAGCCATTCTAAAAACTGAACACAAAATCATTGAACAGATGGTTGGTACCACCCTTAACAAATGCAATAAAGTATTTACTTGGGGTCGGCGTTGTACTTATGACTGCATGTCAAATTCCTTATGCCAAATCCAGTAAATAAAATCGACAAAACCCTTTGTATCATCATACTCCATTGCACAATACAACATGAGCATGTGTTTATGAATTACTATAAAAAAAGTGATGACAACAAGTTACACACGTCATAAACACATGCAAAGGCAAATCAAGTGTTCACCTGACAAAAACACAGCAATATGTGGTACAAGACACAATAGGAATTGAATCGCACATCGTTTTTCTCTGAAGCGTCAAATTTGGAAATGTAGGACTCTCATTGAACAGGGTCATGTCACAATGCTTAAGCTCCGACGTTCATTCAGTTTGGCACTCACTCTATGAAGGTTCATACGCCATTGAACTCACACAAAGTGAAGGTCAGTTCTCATAATTTTTATATCAGAATATTTTACCTCAAAAGATGTAGTTCCAAATACATTTTATTTAGTACGTGTGTCTTCATGTTTACACTGTCCGTCATACAACAGTCACTATCAGTCTAGACAAGGACCGATCGCGAATCCATTCTACGATAGTTTGGATGTTCATTTCTACGATTTGTTCACCATGATGGGTCCTAGGGAGAATATTCGTGAACGATTATGACTTTCCTCATTGTATGCTAAAATGATGAGTGCAAGATCACTGCACTCAGGGTCTAAGTAATCAGAAACAATGCTTCTGTATGTTTCCGTGAAGGGGAATTCCCAGGGGTTCCCCAAGGAAGCTGGAAGTAGTCCGTCAGTGTTAACGTCATTTCAAGAATACAGTCCCGTGAGAAACGTATGAACGTCAAGTTGTGTCGTTCATACACTCATGAACTTCAATTCGCGGTCATGTGACCGACCTGTCCTCCAATGGAAAAGCCATATATCGTATAAACTTCACGTTAAAAAAGGACATGAAGATGCAAATAAAAAAACACATGTGTGTGTGTGATTGTAATTCTTCATCCAAAATATGAATATAAGCAAAAAAAACCATTCCCTTTTCATAAGAAATATCTGCTTAAAAAGAGGCCCTTATACGACTCTGACTATATCATTGGTGTGTGTATATGAATCACTATCAAACAGCGATCATGTTTGCGAAAAGGTGAGCATCCGTCACAAACGCTTGCAAAGGCAAATCAAGTGTTCACCTAAACAAACATGGTACAAGCATATATTATCGACTTTAAGCATGACGTGAAGTACAGTATCCTCTGTAGGCAGTGTATTTCAACAATCTCATTAAAATCAGATCTTAGTTCTCGCTACCGCTAAACAAAGATCGGAGGACATCCCATTACTGGTCACGCCAGACCGACCTTGCGCGAACTTTGACCGACCAATGGAATGACCAATCAGAAGGCAGCTTTCTCGTGCTTTACGGCACTAATTTCAAATTGGCGACTACGCTTCGAAACATATTTAAAAAAATTATCGATAACAAATTTGAAACCTGAACCAAAGAACATTCTGGAATGGCTAATAGATGGTCTAGATTGTATAGATTCAGTCGTTAAAGCTGTAACTATCTTTCGAAGTTAAAGTTTTCGAGGTTGCATGATTAGAAATCACATTCCGATTGTCACTTTCATAACCTGGTAAGCGATGCTCTGATTGGTGTGATGAAAGGTCGTTCTGACGTGACCCCTAATGGGATGTCCTCAGATCTTTGTTTAGCGGTAGCGAGAACTGAGGTCTGATTTTAATGAGATTGTATTTCATACGACTGTATGTGAAAATGTATTCCATGCAAAATGTGTTATTTCACTAAAGAAACTTAAAGCACAGCTGGAGGCACTTTTCCAATGAGAGTTCTCGTAGAGTAAGTACAGTTATATCCCGACATTCTTTGTGTTGAACGTGCATTTCATGCAAGGCTGGATATACGGTTGTACAAATGTCCAGATTCTCCGCTTCATTTCGCATTGGTTTTGAGGCAGTAACTTTATATCTCGTTGACGTAGGTGTAGGTCCCTCGCCCTCTTTCTCTTGTATTGCGAATACCGTATACGACGAAATAAGCGCCGAGGGCGCTCTCAATACTAGAAATAGGGGGCTCTTATTAGAATATTATTTTGGTGAGAAAAAAAACCAGTTGAAAGATAAATTTCGTGGTTTATGCTGACAGCCTGAAATGTTTATGTACTACAGATATATTTTTCCAGAATTTAATTGCCAATAATAAAGGGTGCCTATATCACACGAGTGCGTATTATACGCGAATAGGGGAAGGAAGCGGTGCGTAATATATGCGAAAAGGGGTCGGAAGGGGTGCAAATTGGGATGGTTCAATAACCAATATATTAGCAAATCTCGACGTGGGCGCTTATTAGAGCGGGGCGCTTATTACGTCGAATACGGTATCCATTTGTTATCCACTATTTTAAACACAAAGTTGGTGCCCATACACGAGCACAAACCAGTCCTCATGGTAATATTTTCGGAGCAGTATAGATGTGATGAATACTCCTCTGATATTTATTGTATTCATTATCGACTAGTCATATATGATAAATGCATTATTTCTAAAAAATCTCTTTGAACGACATTATAATGTCAAGATGACGGGATGTAATAAAATATATCATAATTCCAGGTTAATTAAGGAATATGTTCTTGTGATATCACAATACGCAACAATATCTCTTTGAGACCCTTGAAGATCCGGGGTGGAATATGGCTTCAGCAAACCAAAGCTTGCCGAAAAAGGCGACTAACGGGATCGGGTGGTCAGGCTCGCTGACATGGCTGATGCATGTCATCGTATCCCAATTGCATGGATCGATGCTCATGATGTCAATCACTGAATTGTCTGGTCCACTACCGCCGTCAAAAAGCTGGAATATTGCTGAGTGCGGCGTACAAAACAAGCAAATAAACAAACTTATAAAGTAAATGTTCTACCAGTAAAATAATTGAATTGATAAGATCTGTTTTATCATTTGTCAATCTGTCATTACCGGCCATTGTTGACATTGTGTTACAGTAAGACCCTTATCTTTTCGGTATCAGTCATCCAAATGTACACAGCGACGGATGTGATGCCTGTACAAATACTAAAACTATAAGATGGCGTTGACCAATTTCATCACATTCACAATTGTGTTGACGCTACCTTTAAGACCTCTGACTTGGGAAATATAAAACATGCTGAGTTGGTGTGACAACCAGGTCCATAACACCAAACAAATTGACGTGACACATGGAGTTTGTTTATAGAATCGATTGAAAAAACAGAGATGTAGCGCCCCGTGCCATAATGCCGTGGTCTTATACTAATTAATCGAATGTCAAATAAAATATTACTTTCAGGGCGATTGAGTTGTTTGACATCTCAACGTCAGGTTAACCGATACCAGAGACTTTTTACGAAATATTGCAGTTCGGTCATCTTATATGAACAGTATCATCAGATACACTGTAAATACTGTAAATGTGTTTAAGCTACCTTATTACGTTATCCTCATCAGTCGCTCGTATCTGTACCTTCTGGTGTGTGTACACACGTGCTGCTGATGGTGCTGGTTTTCTTGTCCAATACGCTCGACAATTCAAACATGCACGCGAGAATATTCTGCCTATGCGTTTGTATTGATTCTGTCTACGATACCTTAATTAAATGGCTGTGTATTTACTTTGCTGTTCAAGCGTCAGCCCTGTATGTGTGGTAGTGGACGCTGTAAAATAATTGAGACAGTGTCGACGATATTGGCGTTATGGATGGTGTCCGCATCGCTGTGGTCGTCGTTCTCCTACAGTTTGCCGAGGGGTCACTGATTGAAATAGGTAGGTGAAATAAGATCTCCTACAGGTCGTACATGTGTGATGCTGCGACAATGTTTTGTAAGGCATTTATTCATCCTCTCTACTGTTATAGCCGAACCCGTCTGAACTGGACGTGTGTGGGGACAAACGGTTTAGTCCGGTTTACACAGGTTTCTGTGCTATTTCTGCAGGAGATTCATCCTTTCCTGTCACGTTATGAGAAGCACAAGTTAAAAGCGAAAACAATACTCCCTTTTATCTACGATGTTTACTAATTAATTGTAAGAAGTATACTTATATATATATATATATGTATATATATATATATATATATATATATATATATATATATATATATATATATATATTTGAAATCTGCTGGAAGTAGAGTCCATTGTACGATTCCAATTGTTTCATAAGCATGCATCAATGGATCACTATCAAATAGCGATGATACGTTAATAGACGTGCTTGTTGTTTTCCTGCCTGGATGTTTCCCTAGCTATGACACCCGGCGTTCGCATTGAGATGAACATGTCCAGATGCACCTGTGTTCCGTATTTTGCAGGGACACGGGTGGCCCAATCGTCGCGATTTGCTGTGCATAGTTGCGTCCCTTGGGTACGCCATAAACCTATTATTGTGGGTTCGAATCCCGATTCGCCTCGATTATGTTTCTAGGTTTGTCAGCACCATACCCGTGCTCGTGGGTTTCACCGAAGTGGAACCCGGGTTCCATTCCCCACTTGAATAGCATGTGTGAAGCCCATTGTTACGTCCCCCGCCGTGATTTTCCTTGAATGTTGCTAAAAGCGGCGAAAAACCGAGACTCACTCACTCAAACCCGCGAATCTTGGCAGCTAAGGGACACAACTCTTGTGTGCGACTTGTAGCCATTGGACACTCGACCAGGGTACCAAGAAGGGGAATTTGTGCGTTAGATACAAAAGTGTTCATCACGTTTATAACAATTTGTAACCTATGAGTATTGGTTCGAATCCCGATTCGCCTCGATTGTTATTCTAGGTTTGTCAGCACCATATCCATGCTCGTTGGTTTCACTGAGGTTGTAAACACCCTAGACCTGCATTACTTCGGGCTTACCCCCCCCCCCCCCCCCCATTAAGCGGACTCGCCGTGATATAACTGGAATAATGTTAAAAGCGGCGTTAAACCCAACTCACTCACTCACTCAGTCTTTCGCAAACATGCTAACGGCAATTAAAGGAACTCTATAGCCCTGCACAAGGATATGCATGTTTGTCTATTCTTAGTTTATCTCATCAAAGTTTTATTTCATTACTTTAACATTAACAACGTTATAGTTTGCAGAGTGCAACACAACATCATACACAAAATACAACGGAAACGGATAATACCAATATTTTAAAGTATTTCATAGGTAGGTCTCACCTTTCTGTCACGTGTCGCCGTTGTCCTTGACTACGACAAACATACGTGCAAGGGTTTAAGAGCCGTCGGCTATCCTTGATGCCCTTGATATCATACACTTGAGTGTCAACTTATAAACAGTTCCATCAATTCCAAGTGTACTTTACCTGACATGTTGATTTAAGATAACGTAAGCATGAATAATTGATTATTTAAACAAATATGTGACGGGACAATTGTATTTTAAGTGCTACCACAGCATTGTTTAAACATCAAAAGCATCCGTGGAAAGTTCAATTCTCTTTTCTCCTACTTTCCATCAGACCGTCTCCGTTGTTCAGTGGTAGAGCGTCCCGTGGTTCGATCCCCGGCCACGTCATACCAAAAGACCTCAAAAGATGGTACTTGGTGTTACGCTGTCTGGCGATCGGCATTAAGGGTCTAAAACAAGTACTTCTCGGCTCGGAGTCAGTATACTGTGTCTGAGTGGGGTATTCATGGTGTCTCAGTGAGCTAGCACTATAAATTGGCATCAGTCCGGACTAGTACAAGAAGCAAAACACACACGTGCATTCACGTCGCTATATAACATTCGTCACCACTCGCCCCTTTCCGTAACCTGCAAGAAGACTCGTCCCCTTAGCGATGAATGTTATGTGCGAAAATACGACAAACCAATCAGAGTGCGCGTATGATTTCAAGTTCTTCGTCAAAGAATCCCTCAGAAATAATTTTTGATTTTACATTTGTCGTGCATCTAAAAATATTTCCAAGACACAGTTAAATGTGTTCAATCATACTGTATGATTCCCCACTCGATGTGTTTAAAATGCATCTGAAATATATATATGGGGAAATATATGTGAACCATAACGCAACGAGTTGTTTGAGGTATGCCCGTTTTCGCTAAGACGGAAACCGGTCGCGAAAATGGCCATGAGAGGGGCACGAGTCGCTATTCGGCTTGTCCCGGAATAACACGAGTTGGTCACGAATAAGCTATATAACTACATTATGGACGCGACGTTAAACCCCATTTCCCCTCACCTCACATCTTTCCCATCAATATTTAAGAAACCGTCCGACATGTTTTAATTCTTAATATTAACTAAAGACAGGTCCGGTCGATCATTCATAGGTAAACGGATATATATTCTTTCGTTCTGAGTGAGTGAGTGAGTGAGTTGGGTTTAACGCCGCTTTTAACACTATTCCAGTTATATCACGGCGTGTCAGCTTAATGTGGGAGGACAGCCCGAAGTGATGCAGGTCTCAGACGTTTACCACTTCGGTGAAACCCACGAGCACGGGTATGGTGCTGACAAACCTAGAAACATAATTGGGGAGAACGGGGATTCGAACCCACAATCATAGGTTTCTGGCGTGCCCAAGGGACGCAACGCTGCACAGCGAATCATTCGTTCAGAAGTAAAAACAAACTAGTGAACAGTTAAGTGTTCGCCAATTGACTGGAACATTCATATGAAGCTTTGGAGCTAAAACGCTGTTGTGTTCTTTCTCTTTGCAGGAGTAGTGTCGGGAAATGCTGACGCCATACAAGTCATCACCAATAACGTAACAGGTCATGTGGGACGCGTACACTGGTTCGAGGAAAGACGTGGGTCTATTTTCTATAAAGCAGCTCAAAGTAAGTAGATTCTCCACATGGAATCAATATGTGAAGCTCATTTCTGGTGTCCGCAACCGTGATATTGCCGGAGCAGTGCGGCATGCGATGGAAAAACCCAACTCTTATCATTCACGTAAAGAACCGTCCAAAACACTGACTGTTTAAATATCTCAAACAATAAATCCAATCAAATAACAATTTTGGAATAATAATGACACAGGGAGCCTCTGTTCGTCCGCAAGGTTATTTTTCTCAGTGAAATCGATAAGATAGGCAAATTTCGGGATTGAGAATCATGGGTACGGAATAGTTACCTTTTGTATATAGTCATAAAGTAATCGTCTTATTATTAAACACATTTTATTGTCCAAAAAACCCCAAAGAGATTGGGCACAAGTGCACCACTTATTACCACCTTCTCCCTATATATAGTTAAACATAATATTGCATAATGGAACTGAACAATTTACAATTGAAGCTTGACATTGTGGAAACATTGTGCACAATATATATATATAGTGTGAACCTCACACATATGCAAATGTTATAATTTTCTGTTTATCAATAGATTTAACAATATTGATGATACTTAATCATTCATTTTATATATTTGTGTCCAGACAAGAATATATTTGTATTCAGGAAAAAGGTTTGGGTCACCAAATAAAATACTATTTTATGTTTTTAGTTTTTTGTCCTCCACGACTATCATCATATAAGGTACATTCGAAGAAGAAATGGAATGAATTTTCATAAGGAGTTCCGCAGGAGCTACAGGAAGTAGTATCAATAAAGTTAACACGAAACAGGTCGGAATTTAGTGGGCAACAATTGAGTCTCAATCTAGTGTGCAATATGTATGTAGATCTCTTACCGCAATTATACTACAAAGGTGGTGATGTAGGCTGCTCAGATGCGACATCTTTAAAAGAAAATATTGACGAACTATCACTTATTTCTGTTGGTAGATTATTCCATTGGCCTAATGTATCTATAAGATAAGACCTTTTATAGGTAGATGTCCGTGCAAATGGTATTACAAGATCATGGCGGTTTCTGAGATCATAATTGACGTTCTGTGACACAGATGGTGGTATAAGATCAGTTACATATTTATTATTTTATACATAGTTACAAATGTGTTGACGTTTCTTCTACACGCCAATGGCTGCCATCCAGTTTCGTGATATGGGCTGCGACGGGAGGAAAATTTAGTTAATTCTGTTACTATTCTTGCTGCCTCAAGCTGCAGTAATTCTAATTTATTAGCATTATAAGAAGAACAACTGTCCCAGACAGCTGAGGCATATGCTAAGGTCGGTCTGATAAAAAGTGGATATATTCTAGCCAAGTTTGATCTACTTAACCGATTTTAAGTTTTCTCATCGACGAAACAATTTTTTGAAGCACTTGAAAGAATATTATTGATATGATCGTTCCATTTTGTGTCTTGTGATGATGTAACACCAAGGTGCTTGTGGTAGTTCGCTCAAAAGTCGTACTGAAACATGATGGTACTGATACAGGTCTATTATTGGAAGGTGGAGATTTATCCCCTTTCTTTTATATAGGAATGACATGTGCCTATTTCCACTGGTGAACAATAAATATAATGGAGTGGCTATGGTCTGGACAATAGGTTCCAATAAGCGACCATTGATGTTATCTGGACTACTAGCTTTGTTTACTGGAAGTGACTTTATCAAATCAATTATTTCATTATGTTCCACATGAAAACCGTGCAGTTCAGCATCACATTTGTTATAAGTATCAGCTAACACCTGGTTACAATTATCGATATTTGTGACCGATCTGAAATATATATTTAATGCTTCAGACTTTTTGTCTTGAGGTAGAGGTTTGCTGGTTATCAAGACCAACGAGAATTGTTTCACAATTTCAAATACACAATGTCAAAGCCAGAGAATATCCTGTTGTCAGGTTCAGTTATCTAACCCCATGAGAGTATTTATTTAATCGATAGTTCGTATTATTACTTTATTCGATAATTATTTTTGGAGTGCCGAACAATGTTCAATGTGCATTATTCACATAATAGATACGGCATGGAAGTCAATAATGTTCCGCGGCTTCGTTAATTTATTTAAGAAACATGAAATACGACGTAATTCCTTTATTGGTGTTTTTGTGGACAACCGATTTATATCGGGATTTTGCTGAACATGTATTGATTAAATCCTTGAATGTTTTTTTTTGAAAGTTTCAAGTATGCGGACCTACAACTTGGACCTCATCATAGCACCACACCCTTTGAGAGGACAGTTGGTGGAAGTAATTAGTCCGGGATTGGTACACGAGGAGTCGTGGCTTGATTTTTATAGAAATGATCCCTCATCTAGCCCGGCGTACCTCTCAGTGCCCCATCTTGCAGACCACCTCCACCACGCCAACAACGTCATCAGCAGGCTTTTGTGGACAACGACGACGATATTCAGCGACAGGGAGAACCGTGGGTATCAGCCTAATATTTCATATGAAAAGAGTGTGTGAGTGAGTTTGGATTTTCGCCGCTTTGAGTAGTATTTTTAGTTTTATCACGGTGTATTCTTTATGTTCGAGGAAAGCCTGAAGTCACCAGTAACACCAATGAGTATGGCTATTGTCCTTAAACACGTTTGGTCGAAGTGGTTTGCTCAGCATTTTCTTAGTTCCAGGTGCTCAATTAGGTTTTTTATTTGAGTAGTCTTTGGACACTTGTCTGTATGAAAGAGGCACATTATTGTTTTCCTACAATGCCAGGCATTTGTAAAAACAATTGAGTAAAACAAGGGCTGGGTTATTTTGTTAGAAAAGACATCCTTCTCCCCCTGAAAATCAAATGGTTTCGCCCGAAGGCACGCAGCACTTCATGAAAAGTGATCCATAAATAGTCCAATCAGAACCAGGAACATACACCAGTGGTTGACACCATATTGAGCACCATCGGATACGATGACATGCATTCAGCAAAGTCAGAGCCTGATACCTCGATATCCATATAAGTCCCCTCTTGCGACAAGCAAGGGTTACTTGTGATGTTTTCTTATCTGGAATGCCCACAGAGACACAATAGTTACTGTATGGCCTTTGACCACTGGAAGAGCGTTAGGCTCTTAGATTGTAAATGGTAGACTTATTCACCATTTCCATTATTCAGGCTTTGATTCGCATAGACTGGCAAGTGAACTGTCGAGACTTGGTGTCAAGTCAAAACTGGTCTTCGTGAAGACAGACAGAAGTAACTTCAAGTTCCTGAAACATTTCATGGACATCATTGGAATGGATAAGATCAAACACAGGCTCAGGTTCGTTCTGATGTGTTCCTTACCACTTGTCAAGCAAATACTTAGAGAGGTAAGTAAACAGAAATACCGCGATTAAAGTTTTCAAATCAAATAATACAGGTGCTACATGATGCTATATGTAATCACTTGCTTTACATGCTTATGATACAGTCGAAATCGTACACTGGACTCCGATTTTGGGAGAGATTATGATTTATTAAAAAAACCTTAACTCGGACCTTTTATATATTTCTTCCATTTCTTGAGCACCGTTCCACCAGTCTGGGGTTTCTTTTGTTAACCAAGTAATTGAATAACAAAGGGCTTAAAATTCGTATCACATAAGCATATTTCGCGACTATCTACTCGTTTATGGAGTGACGACAACCCCTGATACACAGTTATTAACCAAGTGCATTTGTATTATCGAAAATACCGATTGTCTGTGGTATTGGCTCTGAACAAGTTCCACTGTCCATGTTCCGCAGAACTGTGTAAGATTATATTTAGTATTACAGTATCAGTAATTTAGTAGATACCCATTGGGAGGTTCTCAACGATTTTAATACAGTCGTCGTGTGTGAAAACACAGGGCATGTTTACTCAATCGATTGGTGTTTAACCAAGACGTCGTGCTGTCGACATGATGTGTGCAGAAAGAAAATTCTACCGTGAAATATTTTGGATATGTTTTACTTCAGGTCATTTTCCGACTGTTTATTTTTATTCGTACACTGTTTCCCACGCTGGAAATTTTCAACTCAATGCCATATCAGTTTGATATGTATTGGTAGATAAAGTGAAAAAATACTTAAAATCAACGTCCATTGTTCACATTAACTCGCATGTACCTTCAAGTCCATATCGAATTAAATATCCTCTTTCTCTGATCTTTAAATAACAAGCAAGTGGTATGATTTCGATTTTCCAGTTGTAAATTCATCCTCATGTCGAGCAATATTTGAACGCATATTGCTTATTGCGAGCATGTAGACTTCAGAGACATTAACTAAATATGACGTTCACGTCGCTTGTCAACATGATGCGAGATGCTATCCCATGCTGTGACCTTTACCGCTACGGCAATTATCCCCATACACTTGGTCCATGCAGTCATGAATTTCTTGGGGAGTACCTTTCTCTGACTGCTCGGTACTCGTTCTGTTCGTTTTCTGCGTCCACTTTGACTCCTATCAAGTTCAAGTGGCAGACACTAATGTACAAACGGCCTCAACAGACCAAATACACTTGCAATGAACTACTTAAACAAGTCGCTACGTTGACTAGTTCACTTTGTTCAATCAATTATCATTTTATTTCAAATACATACAGACCACAGGCCTTTGTGTACAAAAGTTGAGAACAGACAGGTTTTAAAAATTCAGTTTCGCATTTCTTACTTCATTTGCATAATATAGATATTTCGCTAGATTTGTAATAATATATGTATCTGGTGATGACAGAAGCATATTAAATTTATGAACGTTAGGGTGACTATAGCACTTTGCTTTGAGATATAGTCCGTAACATGACATACGTTGGACAAATAAGGAGGAAGTGGTACTCGGTTTCAACACAGTCTACTTTACAAAATTTGCATTTTCTTAAATTTCTTGGCATTTTATGATGACGTACATTCTCCATTTCCAAAGTATGACAACTCAGTCTGAATCTCGAGAGAGCTGTCTTCATATTTTGCGAAGTTACAAATGATAAAAAAGGTTCACATTGAACAAAAGTTTTAAAACAAGCATAATATGACATTTGTAGCTATTCCAGATCTGCTGAAAATTGTCTTTTAAACGTTGTTTAAACATATTAAAAAAACCTTTCACTTTCCATACATTTGAAACATCCATACATCTCCCAAGTTTAAAAAGACAATTCCTTAATTTAGTTACCAAATTGGCTCGACCATGTTTATCATACAAGCACAACATATTGTAGCACTTTCTTGGTAAACGGAAGTCTGGCATCTTTAGTATGTTCAGCCAATATTTCATACATCTGGTCAAAGCATATACACGAATTGGTTATCTGCCACACTCGTCCAATACAGCATTATTTGATGCAGATCATTTAAAAACCCAAAAACCTTTGCAAGCATGTAACTGCACAGTTTCCGATTTTTCAACATTTTCAAACCCCCAGACCTCAGCACCAGACAGAAGCACTGGCATGATCTTCGCATCGAAAATAGCGAAGAAAAATCTGGTGACAAAGGTTGTAGCGAATGTATACTTCTCAGGATAGTTATCCATACCATTTTCGCCTGCAGGGCAATCTAATCAAGAGTTTTAGACCAGCTAAGCCTATTATCAAAATACAAACCCAAGTAAGTATAGCCCTAAACAACTTCAACCCTTTTCCCTTTGTAAACCCACTTTTCGAAACGTGACAAACAACCACCATTTTTAAATACAACAACTTTTGTCTGAGACATATTAACTGACATTTTCCGAGTGTTACAAAAATTCTCAAGGACGCCTAGTTATCTGGAACCGTTGCGTCATCTTTCTTATGTACTTGGATGATAATTCCTAATGACCAATTTTCAGAAAAACACCATTTCCATACATACTATTAAATATAATCTCCAAGTAAGGAGAAATAACATCTGATGAATGTTTTAGGTATTCGCTTATGATATGGTCAACTCCTGCTGATTTATTGTTCTTTAAGGCACGAATACCGTCTGTGATTTTTGATCTTGTTATTTGGCAATCAAGAATGTCTGCTGTCAGTTCATGAGATTCACATAAGTACGGACTTTGATTGTCAATGTCAAGAGGATCAATATTTTTGTATAATGTTGAAACATATTAAGCCCACTCTCCCGCAGAGATAGGATTGTGATGATGCTGACGCCCGGACACACGTTTGACAATGTTTGGAGTCACCAGTTGAGTGTATCAGTTCTACTCTATTTCGCTGTCAATACTGTCCTGGGTTGTCCTACACAAGACCCTGTACTCATTGCGTACCTGTTTGTACTTGGGTAGATGTCCAGTGCTTTGAGTAGCCCGAAAAGCGTTTAGTGCATGACAGCGTTCATGTTTTTTGGATAAGACATTCGTTGTCATTCCATGGGGAGTCACTATGCCTTTTACGTCGATTCTCCCTTTTGAACACACAACTGTAGACAGAATAGCACCAGTCAGTTAAGTCACTGCAGCAGATGCACCTGAGAGTGAACAAAAAGCTGCATGTTCTAGCATATCAGTGATACATGGCGATTATATATTCATCATGAATGTCTTACGAAGTTTATCAGTCCATATGTACTTATAGTGTACCTGACTATCCTCAGGTTCGAACGCATCTCCCTTATGAGGAACTGGTAAATGATCACTTCTGAACGGGACATAATGTCAAAGTCTGCGATATGTTGAAATATATCTCTTTATGCTAACACATAGTCTATGACGCTGCATCCAAAATGTCCTATGAAAGTGACGTCGCCGGAGTCTGCGCCAACAATTCCATTGATAATGTGGATGTCGAGAAATGAGCACATTTCCAGGAGAGATCTACCGAGCGTATTCACCGTCTGGTCGCTAGATATTCGTGGCATATCGAACTTGGTTAAAAGGTTTGTATAATGTTCATCCCCATCCACATAGTGAATGATTTCATCCCCGACGTAGTCTTGTTCTGTGCCAGTTCTGCTGTTTAAATCCCCGAACAATAAAAAAGATACACCTGGATACTTTTCCAACACAATAAGTAATAAGTTCAACAGTAATTCTACACCATTGCGACTGTCTTTGTCATCATACCATGACGAGCCTTCTGGCCGCATATAACTGAAAACACATGACATTTAAGTCACAACTTGATATGTCCTTGTCAAACAACACGGTAACTGCATCACCCCCAATTTTAACATCAATAATGTACTTCGCTAACTGAGCTTTAATAAAACTAGTACTCCCCCAGAATATCGACCATAGTGAGATAACATATTTGCTGGTAGAGAAATGATCTTATAGTCAGGAAAGTGAGTGCTAACGAACCGATTTCTGACGTCCCTGTTTCATGCATCGAGATTACCTCATGGTTGTATATGAAAGAACAAAAGTCACTATCCTCAGGTTTATTTAGTAACTCTCCAATCTTCAAGGAGAGAAATCTATTTGAGTTTGATAAAGCATCACGGTCACAGCCTTGGCCACACCCCTATCTCCTTAACCGATGAGCAGAGTTAGATTTGGGTCTAGGGCGTAGTACACGGTCTTGGTCCCGATCCCTAGAGGTCTCTGAAGGCTGTGGTAATTGTCTGTTTTTTTTCGTCTGCACAGTTGGTGACATATCTTTCACCATCGGTTTGCCGACTTTGAAGTAACCTCGCTTGTTACTAGCACGTAGGACCCGTAATGTTCCCCGCTGGCGTAAGGCCAGATCATTTGATACACCAATGTTTATTTCTGTAGCAAGTGTATCGCTATCTTCTGGTCTGAATCTTTAAATTTAGCGATGAGAGGTCTTGATTTCCCCTGAATAGGTTTACTAATTCTATGGGCACGTGCAATGTCAGAGACTGTGAACAGTTGTGATGGCGTAGTCGACTTGAGTGCATCTACAACAGTCTGTTTACAAACATCGTAGGTTTCATTCCTTCCTTCCTCATCACCATATATGACAAGATGAGCTCGTGCAGTCCGCGTATTGAGTCCGCGTATAGAGTCTTGAACCGACTGTATCTTTAATTCGACCGCATTATTATGGATGTCAACACTGTCAAATTTTGACTGCATCAGATCCTGTTTTTCTTCAATCTTGGATAGGTCTTCACGAATACCATTCACCGATGCAAATATGTCCTTCTTAATGTCATTGCATGACTTTTCTAGATTCGCATACATTGTTTTCAGAGACCTAACATCGCATCTGAGTGCGTTCATTTGATCACAATTTTCAGTTTTGTTTTATGTCATTTGGTCCCGAAGAACCGTCTTAAGCGATGTAATACCAGAATCAATAGGACCTGGGTTCTGCTCGATATCCCCTGCACACAACATTAGCTTATTCACCCGAGCGGGTCGATTTTCAGGAGACAGTCGTTGTGTACACTGATCTGCCATATCACAGGGGATCGTTGTCGATGTCATCTGCAGTCCACATTTCGCCCGTATCAGTGTTTATCATATAATGGGTAGGTCACTCGGCAGGATAAAGCCAACGGATAAAAACGATATCCGTTTGGGTCATTTGCGGATAGAGATGCAAATATCAAAGGTCATTTAGGGACTACTTTCAGTGTTTATAAACACACATGGCGTCGCCCTGTCATTCGGCGATCGAGTCAGAATTAACCATCGGAAATCTACAGGGATAATTGCTATCATTATCAAAAGAACAGTCCAATGTACTTAAAATCAGTGTCTAACTGTGACGTAGCTAAGGCATTTTATAAGTTTTGGCAACTTTGGAGATATAAATTTCGAAACAATTTTGCCAAGGCCACTATTTGTGCTTGTAGACCTCTGCGGCTTGAAACCTGGATTTGGCCGAAATATGCTTGAATTGTTGCCATTTTTCGTTTTGTCGCTGTGTGTACATCTGACTGCACTTCTTAACGGTATGACAGGACAGGCCGACTGTCAACAACGTCTGAACGTGGCCGTGACGTCTCATAGACTAGGGTTAGAGTAGTTTCCCTTTGACAAAGGGCAGTTACTCTTAGCAGACAGACCGAGGGATTGCCGCGAAAGGCAAATAAAAACAATTGTTGTTGTGCGTATATGTTCGCCACTGTATAAGAAACAGATTTGAGTTGGAACCTTATTGGCTACAGTCACTGTCCGACTGACACATCACTTACCCTGTGACGTAATAAATATGAATTCGAGCATTCCAGGAAAACTCACAATGTTTCGGTAATGTTTGTGAGAGAGGGAAAGCGATTTTCAAGCACAGAATGAGAGAATGGCATTATATGATAAAAAGGTTATCATGCTTGTGTGAATACCTCTATATCAAATACCTGGTTGGCCATGGTTACACCAATTCCGATAGCTAGAAACACCAGAGTCATTGCAGTGAGGCGAAACATCAAATCGTTGACATGTCGAAGTGGGGTCGTATCTCTCTATCGTCACACACCCGAGCCCACTCTGTTATGACCTATAGCTAAAAGTTAGTCAGGCTTACAACTTTTTGACCATCCCTACTATAACCCTTTTCTCCAGTTCATTATCTGCTGTGGATTTTGCCCATTCACCCAATAATTAGCTCCCTTTAGTTTCCTTGCTAACGACCTCACTTGGCCTCACAGGTTCAGCTGTTGGAATCTAATGCCTATACATAGGGCGTGGCCTCTTCTTCTCATCGTCCTCAGTCTGTGAGTTACATCTGTGATGTATAGATTCACCCTGATCAAGAGCTTTACCTTCTCTGCACAGTTCCGTCTCTCACTCACATATATACCAGAGAGGATACGATTATTTCTCATACCTCTAGTCTGTGTGTCTCACACAGTTTTTCTCAACTGCCTACATGTTCACTGCATTTCCATAAAGTCAACATCGCCTTGAGAGTCCCACATTTCAATCTCACATTTTCCAAACCTGTCCTTCATATCCTTTTCCACATCCAGTAACTTTTCGTTTGTCTTTTTTCTTTCAAACAAAGCATCCAATTCGTAACTTGGTTTATCGAGTTGACTGTGACCTCCATGCAGTTGATCCGCTTAGTTCTGACATGTATCTGTAGACCTATGAGTTGAGTTGATTGAATAGTACATCTACATATCTCTCACTTTGACTTAGTAATATATTAAACCAGTCAAATGGTAGTTTATTTGGTGACCACCATCTTGCTTGTTATTGGTGCATGAAACAAGTCATCTGCCTGATGTAAGGAAGTTAACTGACTATAAAGTCCAGTTTCCAACTTTGCCGGACTAGGCTGAGCTATATTTCGGCTGGACTTACGGGTCTATGCATTGTCCAATCCAAATCATGTTACGAAATCGACATCCTGTTCGTAAACAACATGGCGACTGTCGTGCACATTTTGGTCGACTCCAGGGATTGCAAAGCATGTGTACCGTCATCGTGACAGACATTTTCCAAATATTTTTTTTTTAAATCAATGCGCTCAATAGCTGTCTGTGAGGTAAGGAATGTGAACCTTTTTGTCGATAAACTTGATCAGATCGTCTTGACTGGGCGCCGCCATTTCGTTTGAAGCATATGAGTGTAGGAATCTTATTGGATAGTAGAAAGGAGATCCAGTGCTCAAGTAACACATTATTTCTCAATTTAGCAGTTTTTTGAGATCTTCGGAACTAAGTGAAAGATATAACAGAAGATTGACAGTGATTATGACATTTCAGCTGGGATTTGGTAAAAAAACAATTCAATCTGTTAAAATAATAAATTGTGGTTTATTTCTTCAATTAAGAAAATTCCTGGTTTTGCAGGTGTAGCTATCAAGTCTCCATACAGAACACCAGACGACCCCCACTTCCCTCTCTCTCTTCACAAGAATATCACATTGTAGGTCCCTTATCTTATTTACAAAATCCCAATCCTACAGAGCTATTCATATGTAAATAAATATATTGACCATGGTATCTTCTTTAGGCTGAAGACTGGGACAAGTATTATGGGAAAGGTTCCTTGTTCCGACACTTCTCTCAGTGGCTGTTGCTTCTGCCCCGATCTTCTCTGGGAGCGATAGAGGGCATGGACCTGAAGCTTGATCATGTCGCCGTCATCAGCAGGTCAGACAGGGACTTCGAAGTCGGACAACTATCCCAGGTTAGCAGGGTCTCGTTCAAAACATTGAATGCGCATGTTCAAAGACGTGTCAAATAAACAGATGGGTACTTCCCGACTTGCATAGTCACGCAACACAGCATGTGGGTGCACATGATAGCAACAATCTCTCGGCATTTTAAAGCAACACTTCTCGATTTATGAACACATAATTAATTTTGTTTCCTGGTGAATGCCCAGCATATTAGTACATTTGTAGAATACTTGACTGGCAACAACTGATCTAGTATCTGTAGTTTTATAAATGCATCCTTTTTACATTATCAACACAAACACAACTGATCTAAACTGTTTGACATATAACAAATTAATGTATACTGCGGTTGGAACCTTAAACTCCTTAAAGTAGTTCAAATAAACTAAAAAATCTATCGCTCCCATAACGTATATTGTGCTTTCAGTTTATGAAAGTTGGCCCAAAGTACGCCAGTTACCATGTTATAGTCAATGTTTATCTTTTTCTTAGTGGGTGGTGAACACAATGGTGGAAGTTCTGTCGTTAAACCACATGTACAACAGATCTGATGCCACGGACACCTTTCTTCAAGTAAGGAATACAGTCGTCATGCAACGTGGAGGTTGTGTGGTTAAAGTTGAAGACTTTGGGTTCAATCCCCCACTTATGTACATGTATGAAGCCCCCTTTAAGTGTCCCCGACCACTGTATTGCTTGAATACTGCTGTACCTATCATTTTACGACACACACATACTACCGTAGTTTCTAAGGGAGGAAAGGTACATGTCGCAGAGGCTTCCCATTTCGGTGAAAACCTTTAATACAGGTATGGTGCTGGCTGACAATTCGGGGATTGGAACGCTCGATCCTCGAACGCGTTACGACGCCATTGGCTCCCCTAATCCCTCACTCAGCTATGATATTAAACGACGAATGTTATTTGACAGATCAATTGTTGCGGGTGCACTGACTCTCATTGTCAATAAATAACAGGTTTCTATAAAGTACGTTCCCCCGAGAATATATACGATCGTTTTTTAGTCGAGTGGTGACGCAGCTCTAATTCATGTACGAAAGAGGCCGTCAAATGAGCCCTTCTGCGTACATGTGTTTTGTGCGAAAACTGCCGTTGCCTGATATTGTTTGTTTGTTGTTTAACGCCGCACTCAGCAATATTCCAGCTATAATATGACGGCGGTCTGTAAATAATCGAGTCTGGACCAGACAATCCAGTGATTGACATCGATCCACGCAACTGGGATACGATGACATGCATCAACCAAGTCAGCGAGCCTGACCACCCGATCCCGTTAGTCGCCTCTTACGACAAGCACAGTCGCCCTAACGGCAAGCATGGGTTGCTGAAGACCTATTCTACCCCTGATCTTCACGGGTCTGCCTGATATTGAAGTAATGTTCTGAGTGATATATTGTCAAGGCTGTAACACATGCTGCATGTGGAAAAATTGCTGTTCATGCAATAGATTCTAAGGTCGTTGGTCAGAGCTCTTGCTGATTCCAATCAAGCTGGAACAAGACCGTGGCTTGCTTCCTGGGCCTTAAATATGGACTGCACAGCAAGGAGAGACATGGAAGAACGTAGAGGATACAAACCCGTGAAGTATTAACGATGAGTGACATCATTCAAATCTCTATATTGAGTGAGTGAATTCGGTTTTACGCCGCTTTAGCAATATTCCAGCAATATCACGGCGGGGGACACCAGAAATGGGCTTCACACATTGTACCCATGTCCGGAATCGAACCCGGGTTTTCGGCGTGACGAGCGAACGCTTTAACCACTAGGCTACCCGACCGCCCCAAATCTCTATATTGAAATATATGGCATGAATGTGAAACTGATTATATCCTACTTTGAAACTTTGACAACGATACACTAAAATTCAGTTTTTTGTTTCAACTGAATCATTCATTGCGGACATGAAAATGATGAGCACTTAAAACATAACATCTCCGTTGTCTCCAGATTGTCAGAAAAGAGCACGACGCAAGAACAATGAACACTATGCTACACACGTTGCTGTGGAAACCTCATGGCCGGAAGTTGTCCCAAGTCCAGCGCTCGCGGTATGATACATCCCTCAATGATGTGTTCCCGAATCTGAAACTAGGATTAAACCAACGAGAGCTAAGAACCGGGGGTCTTGAGGTAAGTTGTTCGTTACATATACTTGATATACTAGACTCTCACGTGGCGGCTTGTGACACATTCGAGACACTGAATGGAGGCAATGACGTTTTCATTTTCTTTCTTGCCATGAAAGTGAGTGAGTGAGTGAGTGAGTGAGTGAGTGAGTTGGGTTTAACGCCGCTTTTAACAGTATTCCAGTTATATCGCGGCGTGTCAGCTTATTGTGGGAGGAAAGCCCGAAGTGATGCAGGTCTCAGACGTTTACCACTTCGGTGAAACCCACGAGCACGGGTATGGTGCTGACAAACCTAGAAACATAATCGGGACAAACCGGGAATTCGAACCCACAATCATAGGTTTCTGGCGTGCCAAAGAGACGCAACTCTGCACAGCCTTAGACGACTGGGCCACCCGTGTCCCCTTTGCCATGAAAGAAATCATGTTCCACGCCTGTGTTTATTCAATGCAAGGTGCTCAGCAACTACAAGAAGACGCTGGCACGTGTTGCAGGAGGAATAATGCCATTTAAGAGAAATAATCTACGCGATAAATTGTCAAAACAGTCATCGGTTTCCTTCTGTCTGGAACCAGATCAGGGTTTGCTACGTTGATCATAAACAGGGACTACACAGCGGCTGCATATCCTCATGACTGAGGGAGGTGTACCTACACGCTTGAACTTTTAACGCTGACTGACTTTATCCAAATCAAAAGTTTTTATTTTCTAACTAAGGTATCCTTTGGTCTTTTCTTCTCATAATGTTTTTTTTCCGCCATCAACAACCTAGACTACAGAGAGTACCTCACAGAAACACACAATAAACTGGTGGGGATTTTACTACTCTTCAGTCGTTTTGATAGCTAAAACAATACGCACAGAGGTAACATTCAGTTAACATTTTGTCATTGCTAATTTGATTGCTTGTTTCAGGGTATACCGTTTGTAAAGAGACATGAAAGAAATGGAAAACTCACCTTCACACACGCGAGCATCGACCTGCTCGACCACCTGAAAAGTGTCCTAAATTTTACGTATGTTTCATATTACTTCTCTTCTTGTCTAACCACAGAGAAAAGGGTAACTCTCTCGTCCAATGTCATGATCGGGGATAAGATCTCATTAATCCCATTAAACCCTTAGAAGCTTCAAAGTTGACTATTCTAGGACTTATAATGTTAAAATGTGGTGCGCTTATGGCATTTACTTCTCGATCAACCAGTGTATTTTATGTCCATATTGATTCGGTCCAGGGTATTTATGGTAAAGGAATGGAAATATTATTAACATTTCGGGTCAGAGAATAGGCTATAAGCAACATATTTCTGTCTCATGGACGCATTGATCCGGTGGACACAATATGTTTCACCTAAATCGTTGCTTAAGCTGCCAATTATCTGCGTTGCCTAGATTCAATTATGTTGTGGGGCGGTCGGGTAGCCTGGTGGTTCAAGCGTTCGGTCGTCACGCCGAAGACCCGGGTCCGATTCCCGACATGGGTACAATGTGTGAAGCCCATTTCTGGTGTCCCCCGCCGTGATATTGCTGAAATATTGCTAAAATTGGCGTAAAACCATACTCACTCACTCAGTCTATTATGTTGTAAAGACATAGCGCTGATTACGTTAAACAACATCCACTCATATATAAAATTATACCAGTAGGATTTGTTACCTTCTCAGGTATTCCTTCACTGAGCCGGCCGACGGGGAATGGGGACTTCCGGTTTCCGGAGACCTCAACAATTATACAGGACTTCTTGGCATGCTGCAGAGAGAGGTATGCAGTTAGTATGCTGTAAAGAATAGGGTGTTTCCGCAACAAATGTAGTGTTGCATACTGACATTATGACAATTGATTGAAGTTGACGGACACCTGCATATAACCATAACGAGTTTCTCAAGCTGGGGGCTAGTTTGTCTATTATCATCACATGGTGTTGTTGCACAATCAATGTCATACTGTATATGGTTCTTCAGCCGAGTCACGATCTACACTGACACAACTAGCTATTATCATCAAGGTGAGGGAACGAATCGAACCGTTTTCATGACGATGTTTCATAATTTCCACGAGAACTATGCTGTATCAAGGAGGCGGGGCGGTCGGGTGGCCTAGTGGTTAAAGCGTTCGCTCGTCACGCCGAAGACCCGGGTTCGATTCCCGACATGGGTACAATGTGTGAAGCCCATTTCTGGTGTCCCCCGCCGTGATATTGCTGGGATATTGCTAAAAGCGGCGTAAAAACATACTCAGTCAGTCAGTCAGTATAAAGGAGGCCAGCCACAAAGTCATTTCTGTTACAAATGTTATCTGTCAAGCTGATGATGCCTATATAGTGCGCACATTTTCATTTTACATTTTCACGGTGCTAACAGTGAATTAAGGCTGTAACACAAAGCTGGAATCGGCGCCTTCCTTTTAGAGCGAGTGGGTTCGGTTAAAAGTTGCTTTAAACAAAATTTCATATCACGACGTGTCAGCTTCATGTGGGAGGAAAGCCCGAAGAGATCAAGGTTTTAGATACGTACCATTTTCTTGAAACCCACGAGTATGCTGCTGTCAAACCTAGAAACATAATCGGGTCGAATATGGCATTGGAACCCACGAGGTTTCGGAAACTCCAAAAATATATAGCACACTTTAGACGACTGGACTGCATTATTATGTAAGGTTTGTTTGTTGTTTAACGCCACACTCAGCAATATTCCAGCTGTATGACGACAGTCTTTAAATAATCGAGTCTGGACCAGACAATCAAGTAATTGATATCATGAGCATTGATCCACGCAAATGGGATCGATGACATGCATCAACCAAGTCAGTGAGCCTGACCACCCGATCCCGTTGGTCGCCTTTTACGACAAGCATAGTCACCTTTTACGGCAAGCATGGGTTGCTGAAGACCTATTCTACTCCTGATCTTCAGGGGTCGTTATGTAAGGACAAGTGTACATTTGACAAAGGCAAGATAGGTATTGAATACTAGAAGTCTCTGTAACATAGGTAAGTTACTATTATGTGAGAGGTTACGATTTTACGTCATTTCTGGCACTATAACAGCAAAATCCCCGCGGGGAATAGATGGGAAATGGGCTTCACATAGTGCACCCGTGTAGCGAAGGCCTTTACCGCAAGTAAGATTGAACCATACATTTACACTATTCTGAACAACATTCTCCGGTTTATTTATCAGGTCAAATTACTAGTTTCAGTGTTTTTGTGGATACGTCCCCAATGGATACGTCTACCATTCACTTGTTACAGGAAATAGATTTAATTGCCAATCCAATGGGCTACTCGGGTGAACGGGATTACGTCGCCGACTTCCTTCCATTTGTCCATGAGTCGTACAACGGGATGATATTGAGGGATACTCAGGGCAGTTCCAAGTTGTCAAGTGCCCTGACCGATCCGTTCCGTTGGCAGGTGTATGCTGTGGGAGGAGGGACTCTCCTGGGTGTCCTTCTGCTGTATCTTGCAATAGAATGGAGTAACCCATTCTACCAAGATACAACATCTGTCGCCAAACGATTGAAGCCAGCAGGTGCACTTGACACAGCGGTGTATCTTTTTGGCTCAGCACTTCATCAGGGTAGGTTTGGGGTATTGTAGGCTGAGGTGGGTGAGTTGGCATTGACGCTTTTCAATCGCACATTAATGTGGGAGGAAAGTCCTAAGGGACACAGGTCGAGGCTTTGTCAGCAACATACCCTTGATAAGTGGTTTAACCAAAGTGGTAAACATTCACTACCAGTGACATTGAAGGGTGTGAAAAAATCGGCAAAAAGTTGTAAATCTTGATACATATGGTATCATAAATAAATTGACAAAAGATGATAAGAAGAAAAATACATCTAGGTATCTGAATATTAGGCGACGATGGTGGTAAACGTAATCTTGACGAGTATTAAAACATAAGCTTTCTTTGGGACAGTCATGCCACTTACTAACACCTGCATGTTATATTCCAAAACAGGTAGTTGCCAGTTCATTAGAAACTTCAATCATGGCGTTGACATTGTCAACCATTCACACTTAAAGATGCAATTTTACTTTGCAGAAGCATTGGAAATATCATTGTAGTGACTAAATTGTCATGACAAACTATAGCAGGATATAGTTTACATGGATGCACTCAAAAGTCCTCCCTGATTTACTTGCTCCATATCTCTGTTCGCGATAAGATGGTACCCTTGTCTTAATTCAAGAAGTTGACACTAACATGAGATCTCGAGTGTTTGTCATTGTTCCCCAATGGCGTGGGTCGTTCCTCTTGAAGTCAGTAACTGGGTTCCCAGGTTTGTGGAGGACGCCGGAATATTGCTTACTGCTTAGTAAAAACAACAACAAACAAAACACGTTGCATTTTCGTCAGTGAATCATCTGTGTTGGATAGTTGAATGTTGTTTCTATTTGTAACAAAACAAGTTATTACAGATGTATGGGAGAGCCCGACGAATTTGACATATATATCTATGCTTCAGGAGGTGTCCATCTTCCCGTATCTAGTTCTGGACGAATCCTGGTCAGCTTCTGGTGGCTGTTCATTATAGTGATGACGTCAGCCTACAGTGGCAATCTAATTGCATCGCTCACCGTCACAAGAAAAACACCCCCATTTTCAAGTTTGGAAGACGTGTTCACAGATGCGAACCTAAAGATCGGTTTGTTGGGAGGAGTTATCCTGCATAGAACTATCGAGGTTAGTGGAGTAAAACACCAACGATGTATTACAGTGTAACTGAAGGACCCAGGGTTTAAAGTAACCAACGGAAATTATTATTTATGAAAACATATTTCGTCAAGCAAATAACCTCATTCTCACTATCGATGCTACGTTTTACTGTACAAAGCATTTCTCAAATCGTCATTTGTCAATGTCTCATGTGTCTTTACAGACTTCTAACGACAGTAAACTAATAGGGTTATGGGAAAGGATTGTGGCTTCCAAAGACGCGGACAATGACATCTTCAATCACAACATCTCCGTACATATGAAGAAGGTTATGACGGAAAATTATGCCTTCCTGAACGACGTATTCGAATTAGAAGTGTACGTGAAAACCTTATGCGACGTTTATATATTGAAGGAACAATTTTTACCCCAACAATACAGTCTCCTTCTGCAACAAGGTTCTCCACTTACAGATATGTTCTCTAAAGAGTAAGTAAAGTTTGTATATGTTTAATGTCTTCTCTGGACATAACTCTATCAGGAAGAAAGTTGTGCATATATCGTGTTGCACGTACCATTGATTGCTCAGATGTTACAATTGTAAAGCAATTCAATGTCCAGGTCAGTTGGAACGTGGGATTAGATGAAAATAGGGATTAAGAGATTGGATATAATATGGCCAAAGTGAAATTCATTCTGGAACTGTTTGACACTATATGTTTCTTGTGAAATATTGTCACGGTGCATCATCAAAATCTCCCCTCCCGAAATACAACTCTTTTGTATTTTCTATAAAATACTTTAATTCTGACCAACTGATAATAAACGTAGGTACAATGCTTGAAGCTCATTTCTTGTATTCCTCATCTTGATATTGCTGGAATATTGCTGATAGCGACATAATATAATAATGCTTTTTTCTGATATCAGAATCCTCACAGTGCGGGAAATCGGCTTGATGGAGTACTGGCTTAGGAAGTGGAATCCCAAGCTAAACGATAGTGCATGCCCTTCCACTGAGAAAGGGGCAAAGCCTATAGGCCTAGAGAAGTTGGCGGCAGCGCTACTCGCCCTCCTGGTTGGGGTACTGTTTTCGGGTATGTGCCTTCTCATTGAGCTGGTCGTCAAAGCATCAACATAAATGCTGTGAGACAAATAGTTCACAAAACGACAGACAACCGAGGCGCCTCGTCCCAGAAGCACTCATCTCTTCTCTGTGGTTTCATCGCTGTTTCACCCATACCAGAAGATGTAATCAATATCAGTGGTTGATTTGATCACATTGCTTGTGATCTGGATCTGCAGTTGGATGTGACGTTAAAATGGGATTAATCTCGACGTCAATACGAGTTCTATGTAAAGGGACGTTTCATTGTATAAATTACATCATGCATGAGGCAACAAAGCATTGTATCCAGAAGTGTGCTATGTAAGATCTGCTCGAAAAATGGTTGGGACATTTATTTGACTAAATACTGGCGTTTCGTTTGGACAGTCGAATCATATGTTGCAATACTTTGTTTTCTCATCTTTATTGAACATTAATACGTAGTCATCAATCATTTAATTTCAGTCAACATGAGTTTGCATGCACAACGTCAAGATTATTGTACTAAACAGATTTGGATTAAGAATCGTTTATCACTCCATAGATCACCAACGGTGGTACAAGAGCATGAAATGTCAAAAGTAATATGATACAAATGACACAAATAATATGATACAAATGACACTTCAACAGTTCCTAAAGTTTGTTTGTTTGTTTAACGCTGCACTGACATCGATCAACGCAATTAGGATATAATGACTTGCATCATGAGAGTCAGCAATCCTGACTAATCGATCCCGTTAGTCGACTCGCACAACAATCCTAGTAGCCTCTTATGACGTTCATACAAGTGTATCAAGCTAATTATACTTTTTTATTTGTTTTCAAAAAGTCTACTACGTGTGAATTCAAAATAGGCTAGGTGTTTTAATTCTTTTACGCTGTTAGAATTGAGCCTGAATTTACATTTATAGATAATTCAGCCATTTAAGACAATTTTCTTGTGTACGTGACACTCAGGTGAGTGATTGCATTACATTGAAATAAGTAATGAAACTCATCTGGAACAGTGGGCGAGTCACACTTCTTACATAATCTGTTTCCCTTGAACTTCTGTTCCAGTGGCGTGTCCTCACGGAGAAGTTGCGATTTGTTCTTCTAAATTTCAAAATTGGATAGGATATAGATTTTGGTGGTAATATTTTTCAAGAGCTGGCGAATATTTAGATACATACGAGGTAGGTATCAACAAGGTTTTGGGCCTAACATATTTAGGATAGGCAGATGCTTAAAACCAGTTTAGAGGTTAATCAGCACTATAATAGCATAACATCACCGAGAATATTAGCACACAAACGGTAATAGTTTGCTTTTGGAGAAAGACCGAGGAAGGATACCCCCTTGCGATGTCACAATGGACAAAACTAAGTGCTGAGTAGTTATCACGTTCTGGTTCTGGAGGGTCAGTCCGCAAAATGCATCGAAGAGCGACTGATTGCTGTTTTGTAGAACACCGGTCCATCAATTGCCACGAATGTGGCTTCGAAGTCTTGCCTGATCTACCCTGATCCTGATCCTGATCCCCTGACTTGGCACCAAGTGGATATCATCTTTTTCCAAATTTGAAAAAAAACCCTGCTGTTTAGGATTGGTTGGGGGACCAAGTAAAACCCTTCTGTAGACATAAATGGCCGGCAGACCAGATGGAAAGCGTGCACAGAACTTCGAGGGGACTTTTTTGAGAAATAATTATATCTTACATAAGAATTTCAACTCAATCTATGCTAAGCTTAAAACGTTTTCATACCCCTTTGCACTTCTCAAGTTTTGACATAATTGACAACTGAATATTCGCTCCACTGTTGAGTTGAGACATTTAGCATTGTAATTTTCAAGTGAATAAAATCCTTACCTTATCCTGCACGTGACTTGTATGTGTTTCATACATTCGAGCCATGGGTAGTTGTGAGAGATATTCCCAGAATGCATTTCTCTAATCTATACGCTAAATGTCATGAATTCACTACTTATCGCAATATGGTGCCAGAACTTGATCATACATTTTGTTATGTGTTTATTGATGGGCGTCTTTCCAGGTTCGCGGTAAACCAATTTTAGGAATTATAAATGCAGTGTTTCTGTGAGATCAACGTTTCCAAAACCCCACACCTCAGATCCATAAGATAGGTAGCAACATCACATCAACAGCTTCCACATGGCAATCAAGAGTAACATATCTTATTTTTTTAAGTAAACACAATATACCTTTTGGTGCATTTTCAAGAGTAACATATCTTATTTTTTTAAGTAAACACAATATACCTTTTGGTGCATTTTCCACTAAAGTTTTTATAGTTATGGAACGTTTTCTTTTTTGACGAAGTTTAATTTCCAAGTAGGTAGATTGATCTACTGTATCCAGTTCTTTATCACCAAAACGAAAACTTGGCCTATCCTTCTTACGTGTTCCACAACCAAACACTATAATTTTAGTTTTTGCTTTACACTTAGGATCCATACATATTTTCGATCAAGCTATAAGATGACCCATGTATGCCATAGTTCAATAACTTTGACCAGAGGCCAACTCTCCAGACAAGTGCATTCTGGAAGGTCTTAGTGGAATTATTGAACACACTATACAGTTTCTTCCTATAGGTTTTATCAGTAGTCTAGAAGCCTTTTCGCTTGAGTAGGATAAACTCTATTTCTAGGAATGTATTTAAATTTATGTTTAAATTACTTATAAACAGTTTTCTGTTTACTCTGTTAGAACTTATTGGGTAATTGGGTGATAAGAAAGTTGATTTGATGAGTTACCTTTTCCTTTATATATTGGTTTTATTACCCCTATCAGCCATGCTTGAGGAACTAGTTGTTCACACAAGATTATATAGTTTTACAAGTAATGGATCAGTGATTGCAAATGAGTCAATGATATAGTCATTTTCTTTTCGAATTGGTCCAGGAGCTTTATTACGCTTTACCGATTTCAGCACATTACATATTTATTCGAATGAAGTAATTATGGATAATGAAATAACATGGATATCATACATATTCATATCAACATCGGGGCGGTGGCGTACCGTAGTGGTTAAAGCGTCCGCTCGTCACGCCGAAGGCCCGCGTTCGATTCGAACGACATTACGTGAACGACGAAGACGGCGACTATGCTCGTCGTAAGAGGCCACTAACGGGATCGGGTGGTAAGGCTCGCTGACTTGTTTGATGCATGTCATCGATAGCTGTCATATAGCTGGAATATTGCTGAGTGCGGCGTTGAACAACAAACAAACAAACATAAGGACAAGCATTTACTGTCATCATTTTGGGTAGATTGAAAGTGCATAAAAAGTTTGCATCAAGTCGAACATTATATGTGCAAATTGAACTAAAAACATTCACATTAAAATAGGTTGCTGGATCGTTATCCATGTAGGAAATTCTGTACAATTGATTTGTTATTTCATTTCTGTCAGTTGTAACACTGATGAGGTCACTAATAACAGTAGTTGTGTCTGTTCACTAGTTTCTACTTGGTAGTTGAATTTTAGCATTTCGCCAACCGAGAATTATCTACAACCTCATTTCGTTTAAGGACAACACTGACAATGTCACTAACAATAGTAGTTGATTCGGTAGAACAGCTTCTATATAAGCAGTTAAATTTAAATTTCACCAGCATTATTAACAGCACCATAAGCGCGAATTGTCTCTGTAGCAGATTGTCTTGGGTTCACGAAGATGTCATCCTCATTATCTATATTGTTTTTTGTTGCATGCAAAGTTTAACTGTAACATTGGTCTGCGGCATTATTTTGTGTTGCCAAGACTTGGGAAGGAACTCTTCCACCTCATTGTCATTTTCCACCAACCGAATGTACATAATCACACAGACTGCCATGTTTATCACGGTCACCCGATCCATATGAAGTATTTGTCAAAAGTTCCATTCGAACACAGTTCATGGGACAGTGGCGAGTTAGTATTGTAGGGATATGACTATCGAAAGTTTTCCTCACACACACCAATGCTGTGGTGGTTGTGTGGACTTCGGCTTCATGGGCCTACGCCTGACAGTGTACCTCATGGTTCGTGTTCTATGTCCACCGGAAAGGTCCAAAAAGAGGCCTTACTCCTAGGAAGCCCTGTTGAGAAGACGGGTACTTAGGTGATGGGTACTTAGCTGTTACATGTTGCATCTGTGGGTCATGGTACAGTGATGTCCTAGGTATGGACACTGTTTCCATGGATATTTCCATTGCTCTGCACATGGCGTTGCTGACGTGGCGGGGCTATCTCCGGCTTTCCTGGATTCACTTTTATGTCTAGTTCTGTTTCGCATGATGTTTGTGTGCGTGTGTGTGTATCTGTGTATGCGTGGTTGTACGAGCCTGAACTCATGCCTGTTTCAAAGTGCTAGCCCAGTGAGATAAAAGCCGACCTGTCCTTGTCTTTCCCCTGTTACATATCGACTTCCAAATGGAAACAATAAGTTAACCAAGAAATCTAAACGTAAAATAATTCAGTGTGAAACCAACAAACGAAGAAATGGTATACAATAAACAATGTATTATAAAATGAATTGGGTTTACGAGTCAAAACAAATTACAGCATAGTAAATACAAATGCAATACACTATAGAAGAACCGTGAAGTTCCGGGGTAGAATAGGTCTTCAGCAACCCATGCTTGCCGTAAAAGGTGACTATGCTTTTAGTAAGAGGCGACTAACGGGATCGGGTGGTCAGGCTCGCTGGGTTGGTTGATGCACGTCATCGTATCCCAATTGTGTGGATGGATGCTCATGATATCAATCACTGGATTATTTACTCGATTATTTACAGATCGCCGTTATATAGCTGGAATATTGCTGAGTGCGGCGTTAAACAACGAACAAACAAAACACAATAGAAAATTTAATGGCATTACAATTACAGTTGCAGTATAAAATATAATAGCACTGGTAATAATATTCGCCTTGCAGCAACCGTGGTCAAGCTTCCCCAAACTTGGCCTTGGCTGGCTATCGAGGATGAAAACAATGATCTTCACACATCCGCTGGTCTTGATGTAATGTGGGGTGCGAGAGGAACGATCTTGCCTCCTTATATAGTCTAAATATATTCTGGAAGGTTCTGTACAGCGTTGCTCTAGTCTAGCTGTTCCGGAAGATTCTAGATTGCACTTGGACTAACAAACACATTTAAATATCGTAACTTCCAAACCACTGCTTACATTAGATAGTACTACATTCCTGACAACTAACTATTGTCAAATCACAATGCTAGGAACTTCTACTGAAACAACGTAAAACAATTGAACATTGTTTAGCAATAAACGTAACACCCCTTTATGCCGAACTCCAGGCACAGTTACAACAAATACCATCAGCATTCTTTTAACGTCGTTTGGTATGACGCGGAGATGCAATGGAACGTGCATGTTTTCTGTTGGCTGCTTCAAAGACGCGAATATTCCGCGAAGGAATTGGTTCTCTTGCTTGTCGTGGGACTTGACCAATTGTGGATCGCTAGGCCATAATGGTTGCTGACACCGTGACACAGCAGGCAGCAATATTGAATTCCTGGTCTGGCTTTGTAAATATGAAGCATTATTTTTAACGCAGTAGTTCCCTTATTTCATTCCATCAGAATATATCTATATGTATAGTTTAATGTAATACATCTTCTTATGAACCAAATACAAATGAAACAGATGCAAGTAACTCATTTATTTACCACTAACGGGAAATTAGGGACGGCGGACCACGTCTATCTCTTTGTATCTTATTTCCGCTTTTATACGGCTAGAGTGCCAAAATAGAAAGACCAATCATTAAGTTATGTTACAAATGCTTTCTTCTGTCTGTGTAGGAGCATGTGTCCTGACACAATCGGGGAATCTTGAAGAAAGGCCGAGGTAAGTTTGTCTCTCTCTGTTCCGTGCAAGTGTTTGTTCTCACAATAATGCCTGGTTAACTTTAATGACCTTTACTATGGTGTGGTATCTTCGTGAATTTTAAAGTGAGTGAGTGAGTATGGTTTTACACCGCTTTTAGCAATATTCCAGCAACATCACGGCGGGGGACACCAGAAATGGGCTTCACACATTGTACCCATGTCGGGAATCGAACCCGGGTCTTCAGCGTGACGAGCGAACGCTTTTACCACTAGGCTACCCGACCGCCCCTAATTTTAAAGTATATAAGTGTGTAGTGGACATTTAACATACATCTTTTTGCTGGTCGGATGGAATGGATTTCTAGTCCATTATTGTCATTCTGTGTTGTTTACGTGCCAACGTATGGCAGGATTACTGCTGCGCGAGGTCAGGCAATGAACACAATTCTGTATTATGCAAATTGTGTGATAGGTGGGTGCTACTTTTTAGGCAGGAGATGCTTATCTAAACTAGTGTCCAAAAGAAACGATACCAACTTATTTTCAAAATTGTTTTTTACTAAGTGAATTGTCTAGTATGAAAACATGCCAATTCGTATTGCACATCCCAAACACAGCATAGTCGATACAAAATACCGGGAACACGTGATCACTTCCGGGAAAAAACGTAGATTTCGTGAAAGTGACATTTCCCTCTCAAGCATGTTCTGCACGTGCATAAAAACTGTATAAAACGGCTGATCAGACACGTTGATATCACAGCAACAAAAAGAACACAAGATATGCCACGTTTGACAGCCATCGAGAGAGAGAGAGCCGTTGGAATGGTCCAACAAGGAGCGTCACACGTCGACGTCGCCAGAAGGTTGGGCTGCGCACGCATCACTATCACCAGGTTGATGCAGCGGTTACGTCAGACAGGTCAGACGTCAGACAGGCCCAGGAGTGGAAGACCACGAGTAACCACGCCCCGTGAAGATCGTTACATCCGGGTAATACACCTGA